TTTGCCTGTAGCTGTATTTTAGTCCACTTTTAAGGTTACAATTGTGAGATTAAGACCAGGTGAGCGATGCAGGCCCATTGGGCCTCTTGTTTATTATTCAGAAGAGGTTGAATAAAGGTTTTACAAAGTTTAATCCAATACCTTGAAAGTGGGTCAAGGTCATATATTTGAACTTTTGATCATGCATGTAAATGGCTAAATATCATCACCCTAAACCTATTGGTTATTCAGGGAAAGTCGTTTAAAGTTAGCAGACAGACAGACTTCACACCATCACATAAGCTTGCTTGGCCCTTCCAGACAGGTGAGCTAAAAATAAAAGTATTAAAAAAAAAAATTCAATGAATGCTATTGGAAAATAATATTTTATTTTTTGCTCAGAATGATTGTTTCAATACAATACTGATATCATTATAAACGATTGTTTCAATACAATACTGATATCATTATAAATTATTGTTTCAATACAATACTGATATCATTATAAATGATTGTTTCATTACAATACTGATATCATTATAAATGATTGTTTCAATACAATGCTGAAACAATTATAAATTAAAACATTTCTTAATCAATATGACCTCATGCTCACTATTATGCCGTGTTATTCATTTCTTACTTTACAAATGTAATGGGTCTCACCAACCTCAGTGAAATCACAGTAAATATATTATGACATAACAAACTCAGTTTAAAGCAAATGCGGACATAACGCTATTCTCAAGTCAAATTATCAACAAAACTTATATAATTATGTGATAAAAAAAATCTTACTGTAAGTTGTATGGAGTGTTTTACCGGTGATAAGCCTGTGTCAATGTGGGTACCCAGTAATAAGCCCGCCTCTTTTCTTTGAGAACTGTTGCAGGTGAAAACACTACATTTTTTCATCAGAAGACAGTTAAGGTAACTAGCCTGATGTGTCCTTTGACACACGTTACTCTGATGAAAGAATGTGGTCTTCAAACCCAAACAGTTCTGTACTGACACAGCAAACCTATCAGCGACAGTATCTTCAAAGGCCAGTAGCTAGGTGACTGATGACCCCTGACCTCTGACCTCCGACAGTGACAATAAACAACTATAACAGGTAAAGACATATAGAAGTTCCCAAACAAGTGGTGGTCTAGCTCAAGTTAGTGGATTTTCAGCTTGTGTTAACTCATTGACCCCTGAAGACACATTTGAACTCTTCCGATTCAAAGGTTGGAGTAGTTCATTATGAAATTTCAGGGGTGAATGAGATAAGACACATGGTTTCTAATAAAAGTTAGATAAACAAGATCTCCAGCCAGCACATCTATGACCAAGTATTAAACAAAACGTAGCTGAATCGAGTCATTCAGGTACACATATAACAACTGTTGTACATACGTTTACAGCATAACCGAATCAACATCGATTTTGTGGACAACTCGTACACATTTTACACCTTTGTGTACATGCGCTTCACTGATCATTTGTCTGATGAAGGTGACAGTGTACATACCGTACTAGTCATCGAAACTTCACATAGAAAATACTATTGGTTGTGTAAAAAGAAATTTTCATAATCCATACCGACCTGAAGAAAATGTTTAGCAACTCCTAGCAGGGTTACCCAATGATTCAGAACTGAGGAAATATCTAAATCTCAGACCTATTGTCTACATTGTATATAAAGTAAATCTTAAATTCTATCACAGATCACTGATGAAATATTTGGAATGATGAAGATTTTTCATTGTACAAAATAACTGGGGAAAAATATATGTATATTGTACCATACAAAAAATGGTCATTAAATATTTACCAGAGTTAACATTGTACAAAATAACTGGGAAAATATCAATACAGTATATATTATGAAACACAAGCTAAAATTTTGTACAACATGTACTACTAAAGTAATTGTAACTTATAATGCATAGCGGTCACCAGGTAGCTCAATTTGTAGAGCATCCGTCTACAGTTCAGAGGGTCCCGGTGTAACAGCCAATTCTTTCCCCTCTGCTAAAAGTTTCCCCGGAGAAAGAATAAGCCAGCTGCTTCTTTCCCCCACTAGATAGTTTTTTTCCCAGAGGGAAGAAATTAGCTAGCTGAATTCTTCTCTTGGGGAAAAAAACAGCTAGCTGATTTTCACCCTCTCTTTAAATCTCAGTATTGATTTTTTGGGAGGGCAAACTATTGGCTGGTTGGTTATTTCTCCATTAAGTTTTGTTGTTTAGGGGGAAAACTATTAGCTGGCAGGTTTCCCCCTTGGAATTGATATTTAGAGAGGGGTCACCATTGGCTGGTTGGTTCTTTTTCTCTGCCCCCTTGGAACTGATGGGAGGGGGTGGGGGTAGTAGGGGTTTTGCAGATACATCCCTCCCCCCTTCCCTCGGAAATGATTTTTAAAGGAGGGGGGAACTATTGGCTTGCTGATTCTTCCCCCTCCATGCAGTCTGGCTGGTGCATTTTCTGTTCCCTTTGCAAATACATGAACAATATTCATTAAAATCTGATTGCCAGCAATAACAGTCTGCTAAATTCATCATCTTTGAACCCATTATATCTTCAGCATACAGGTTAATAATATAAATATCATGTAGATATTAAACCCACTATATTTTTAAACCAACTGTTTTAAGCTTAATGAGAAAACTGGTCACGTGTTACAAGTCATAACATTTTTTCTAGTCTTCAGAAAGATAATAATAATAATAATAATTTAAGGTTCTTATATATACCGTTTTATCACAACCTAGTTCGTAGGTCGTCTCAAAGCAGTTCACAAATTAGTACCCGTGGTTATAGGGCCTTTGCAACTAGCCAATATATTTCTCAACTCCCTGGGGAGCATACAGCCAGTGCTGCCATTTCGGCTCTCATAGCTAGCATTCTACAATTCTAGCACTGCCCAACCACGTACTCATTTACAGATGAGTAGACTGGAACAAGCGGAGTAAAGTATCTTGCTCAAAGATACAACACTGTGCGGTGCCATGACTTGTACCCGCAACCCTTCGGTCACGAGGCCGACGTCCTATCACTAGACTACCGTGCCTCCAGAAGATATACATGTATAAAGACATAATTAACATCAAGGAAGTTACCTCAGCAGTGTAGGCAATATGAGGTAATGTTTCGAGCAATCCTCTCCTTTATAGAGACACAGAAAAACACAGAACACTCTGTCTCACATTACATAAAAACAAATAACAATGTTATTAGATATAACTAATGTTTAACAATAATAAGCCCCTCGCATAGCGTAAGATATATTATACAAAATTGTGGAATATTGCAAAATAATGATTAAAATTGATGAATTCTACGGAGTGTAGAATGGAATGTTATTTGACTTAATACAATAAAGTGTACCAGTATACAATTAACATTTACTGAATTTTTTGTTAGCTTTAATTTCTCCTGATGATAAATCAACACCTTTCTGATTATTTTGAGATGCCTGATACAAATAGTTTTTCATTAGGTTCATTTCAGTTATTGATACACTTGAAATTCACTATTTTAACTTACAAATGATCTCAAAGTGGTGTTTATGAAAGCAAGGGAGGTAACTGTTATGCACTTTACTATTTTTAAGTCAATGATCGATCACTGACCGATTTCAGGCACAAGGCTAGAGAATTTTATCATAGTTTTCTGATTTTAACTGATCTCCCATTAATTTCTTTTTGAATGTAACTGTCTTAGAACTTAGCCAGATGACAGGATCCTTTGAAATTGAAGCTAGGGTTCCATTCTACACTATGATCCACACCTTTTGGAAATGACAATATCAGAAGCACACAAGTAGTGATTAGAGTGGTTTCAGTTAAAAAAAAAATCATCATTCACTAGACACACACTTGCCCTTTGAAGGTTGAAGAGAAACAACACCAAAAAAACCAACCCCAATCATTCGTTTGATGTACATCTCGAGTTTGGAGGTCCACAGTTTAATCCCCAGTATGGCGGAGGTGGAATTTGGCCCCTTAGTATGTTTATTCTTTTGTTTCAAAACATAATACACTTGGCATTGTTTTGTTAATCTGTGAAAACTTCATAATATGGGCTTCTTTTAACGAAAAGATATATTAAACTTACTAAATCTTTAAAAAAAATATGATTTACACATTTTCTGATTTTTACTCTTTTTTTTCCATTTATTAATTTTATGCTATGTCATCAAAAATGGGTCAAATTCCTATAATTCTAAAACATCGTTGAATATACATGTACCAGCTCCTACCTTGCTTTGTTAACCCTTTCACCTCTAAAGTCACATTTGAACCTTACCAAATCAAAGACTGGGTAAGTCCAGTTTAAATATGTAGGGGTGAGCGAGTTAAAACACTCTCTGAAGCCTTTGTCTTGGGTAAAAAAATCATTTGTCACCTTAACTAATTTATTGACTAATTTCATCATTCCTGTGTGAGCGGTGCATAGGCAATGTCCCGTTTAGTACCAGGCTTGTCGAAGAATTTTCGGCCGTAGAGAAAGGACACACATATGATAGCCACAAGTGTGAACGGCCAGAAGATCAAGTTGAAAATAGTACCAGAATAAGTGGCACTAAAATAGGCCACATAGTTGTGCATGTCAATTTCCCAGAAGTCACTGAGCAGACCTTCCTTGCCACCGGCATCCATTCCTGTGCCACCAAAGACGAGAATTGTGTTCCCAGCCACGACAGCCATGGTGTCAAACCTTGACCCAGGCTGGGAGCCAGTGTAGTAAGTATTCTTGTCACCATTGTAAATACCAGCCGAGTTTCCGCTCTCAAACCCAGCCTTGAAAGCCCATTGATTCTTCAACACATCAAAATGCCATAAATCTGCGAGACGTTTTGGTGGTTTCACAGACGAAATGGAATTGGTTTGGACATCGGCTCCTTCTCCGCCAAACAGCCAGAGATTTCCACTAGTGTCCACTATCCCTGCACCACCTCTCCGACAGCCTGGCTCGTTATCCCTCGTGTGCTGTCCCACAAAGGCAAACTTGCCAGCTTGACCTGTTTGTCGCCTACCATGTACATATCTCCAAGTGCCCTCTGTGATGTTATACATGAACAAATCGGAGCCAAATCCTGTATTGTGATGATAGTTTATGTTGTAATTGGGTGCTCTATTTCCACCAAACAAGTAAAGAGCAGTGTCTTTGACCCAGGTTGTGGCACCATTTCTTGGTTCCGGCCACAGAGTCAGGTGATTGTTATAGATCTGGTTCCTCATCAGTACAGAATTCTCCATCTCTCTCCAGGTCAAGGTCCTGAAGTCAAACTCCCACATGTCCCGAAAAATCTGAGCTTTCACACCGATTCCTCCAAAGATGACCAGTTTATCACGCAAACACCAAACTGCCATATCAGCTCTAGCTGGCGGGGAAAGCAAGTCAGTGTCATTTTCTTTCATATCTGAATGCATTTTTTCAAAACTGCTCCAGTTTTTAAGTCTGAAGTCGTAGATCCATGTATCGGCCAGAACATCCTGTTCCCCATAGCCGCCGTACACCATGAACATGGCTCCCGGTATACCGCAGCCAGCACCCAACATACGTGGAGCAGGTAACTGATCAGTCCCTCGCTTGACTCCTTGGCCACTGTTCCCTTTATGCAGGATATTTTCAGACGGAACCCCTCCATTTATAAACCATAAATCATTAGTCAGGCGCTGTTTGTTTAACTTGGGATCATAAACAAGACCTCCAAATAAGTATAAATTGTTGTAGGTGTTGTAGTCCTTAAGAACCATGCCTCCTGAACGTGCCCCAAGTCCCAGGTCTGTAGCGACTTGGTTCACGCTAGAACTACCAGCCTGCCATTTCCACCTCACATCTGAAATATACCAGGTATACAGAAAAAGGTATTAATGATGAAGATAAAGTCTGTTTACAATGTATCCCACTGCCTGAATTACTTAAAGATAGTTATTCAGTGCCGTACTAACCAATTCTCATCACCATTATTACTTGTTCTGTTACATTCGGTAAAGGTTAATTGAAGCTAGCTAGCAACAAGAGGCCAAATGGACCTGTGTTGCTCAGCTGATATTTGTTTGCAACACATATGCATCTCGCACCTGTAACCTTTAAATTTGATCAGCGTCAAATTTATTTAAACCAGTTTGACAGCAAGAATATTAACACTTCAGTAGAGTTACTTGAAACATTGCAGGAAAATTAAAACTATTTCACTCATGTGACATTAAATATGTTGTATTATTCCAGAGAGCTACATCCTCAATACTCAAGGGTTACACTAACTCTCCTCTCTGCAGCCCTAGAATATGTCATAGCAAAATAGAAAACACTTTGTGGATGAGACAAGAAGAATAATATTACCCTTTCAAGTACACATCAATACATTCTCGCCGGCACATAGCGCAAACATTGACTTTAAAGTCAGGTGTCGCTCTTCTATAATCTTCAAAGAACATATATCAGCCTGCAATTGGTCAGGTATTTTTTTTACCTCAATCAAATAGATTCAATGTCAAGACATATTCCAGGAGACCAGAGAGCGAAACTGAACGTAACCCCTGGAGTATCAAGGATGGGTGAAGCGTAACCCCTGGAGTATCGAGGATGGGTGAAGTGTTACCCCTGGAGTATCGAGGATGGGTAAAGCGTAACTCCTGGAGTATTGAGGATTGGGTGAGCATAACCCCTGGAGTATTGAGGATGGGTGAAGCGTTACCCCTGGAGTATCGAGGATGGGTGAAGCGCAACTCCCGGGGTATCGAGGATGGGTGAAGCGTAACCCCTAGAGAATCGTGGATGGGTGGAGCGTAACCCCTGGAGTATTGAGGATGGGGCGAGCGTAACCCTTTGAGTGGAGAGGATGGGTGAAGAGTAACCCCTGTAGTATCGAGGATGGGTGAAGCGTAACCCCTGGAGCATCGTGGATGGGTGAAGCGTTACCCCTGGAGTATCGAGGATGGGTGAAGCGTAACCTATTGAGTATCGAGGATGGGTGAAGTATAAATCCTTGAGTCCCGAGGATGAATGATGGGGCGAGCGTAACCCCTTGAGTGGAGAGGACGGGTGAAGCATAACCCCTGGAGTATCGAGGATGGGTGAAGTGTAACCCCTAGAGTATCGTGGATGGGTGGAGCGTAACCCCTGGAGTATCAAGGATGGGTGAAGTGTTACCCCTGGAGTATCGAGGATGGGTAAAGCGTACCTCCTGGAGTATTGAGGATTGGGTGAGCATAACCCCTGGAGTATTGAGGATGGGTGAAGCGTAACCCCTTGCGTATCGAGGATGGGTGAAGCATAACCCCTGGAGTATCGAGAATGGGTGAAGCGTAACCCCTGGAGTATCGTGGATAGGTGAAGCGTTACCCCTGGAGTATCGAGGATGGGTGAAGCGTAACCTATTGAGTATCGAGGATGGGTGAAGCGTAACCCCTGGAGCATCGTGGATGGGTGAAGCGTTACCCCTGGAGTATCGAGGATGGGTGAAGCGTAACCGATTGAGTATCGAGGATGGGTGAAGCGTAACCCCTGGCGAATCGAGGATGGGTGAAGCTTAACCCCTTGCAAATCGAGGATGGGTGAAGTGTAAACCCTGGAGTATTGATGATGGGGCGAGCGTAACCCTTTGAGTGGAGAGGATGGGTGAAGAGTAACCCCTGTAGTATCGAGGATGGGTGAAGCGTAACCCCTGGAGTATCAAGGATGGGTGAAGCATAACCCCTGGAGTATCGAGAATGGGTGAAGCGTAACCCCTGGAGTATCGTGGATGGGTGGAGCGTAACCCCTGGAGTATTGAGGATGGGTGAAGTTTAACCCCTGGAGTATCGAAGATGGGTGAAGCGTAACCCCTGGCGAATCGAGGATGGGTGAAGCGTAACCCCTGGAGTATCGCGGATGGGTGAAGCGTTACCCCTGGAGTATCGAGAATGGGTGAAGCGTAACCCCTGGCGTATCGAGGATGGGTGAAGCTTAACGCCTGGAGTATTGAGGATGGGTGAAGCGTAACCCCTGGAGTATTGAGGATGGGTGAAGCTTAACCCCTTGGGTATCGAGAATGGGTGAAGCGTAACCCCTGGCGTATCGAGGATGGGTGAAGCTTAACCCCTGGAGTATTGAGGATGGGTGAAGTGTAACCCCTTGCGTATCGAGGATGGGTGAAGCGTAACCCCTTGCGTATCGAGGATGGGTGAAGTTTAACCCCTTGCGTATTGAGGATGGGTGAAGCTTAACCCCTTGCTTATCGAGGATGGGTGAAGCGTAACCCCTTGCGTATCGAGGATGGGTGAAGCGTAACCCACTGGAGTGTTGAGGATGGGTGAAGCGTAACCCCTGGAGTATTAAGAATTGGGTGAGCGTAACCCCTGGAGTATCGAGTGTGGGACGAGCGTAACCCCTTGCGTATCGAAGATGGGTGAAGCATAACCCCTGGAGTATCGAGGATGGGTGAATCATAACCCCTTGGGTATTGAGGATGGGTGAAGCATAACCCCTGGAGTATCGAGTGTGGAACGAGCGTAACCCCTTGCGTATCGAGGATGGGTGAAGTTTAACCCCTTGCGTATCGAGGATGGGTGAAGCTTAATCCCTGGAGTATCGAGGATGGGTGAAGCGTAACCCCTGGAGTATTGAGGATGGGTGAAGCGTAACCCCTGGAGTATCGAGGATGGGTGAATCATAACCCCTTGCGTATTGAGGATGGGTGAAGCATAACCCCTGGAGTATCGAGGATGGGTGAATCATAAACCCTGGAGTATCGAGGACGGGTGAAGTATAAACCCTGCCCCTGGAGTAACGAGGATGGGTGAAGCGTACCCCCTGGAGTATCGAGGGTGGGTGAATCATAACCCCTTGCTTATCGAGGATGGGTGAATCATACCCCCTTGCGTATTGAGGATGGGGGAGTGGAACCCCATGAGTGGAGAGGATGGGTGAAGCATATCCCCTGGAGTATCGAGGACGGGTGAAGTATAAACCCTTGAGTACCGAGGATGAAGTAAGCATAACCCTGGAGTATCGAGGATGGGTGAAGCGTAACCCCTGGAGTATCGAGGATGAGGCGAGCGTAACCTATTGAGTATCGAGGATGGGTGAAGTATAAACCCTTGAGTACCGAGGATGAAGTAAGCATAACCCTTTAATTGTCAATTAATTATGGTTGCCATCTAGCATTATGCTGTTGAACCATCTCATTCAATGTAGTGGAGATTTCAGGGAGCTAGTGATACTGAATAAAGGTTACCTAGTATTCAGGCTGACTTCAGAATAAGACAGAAATAAACTAAAGGATGTATATAACATATAGAGTCAAAAGTGGTATGGCTTTGGCTTGTGAGAATTTCTCTAATTGGCAGATCTAGAGCATCAAACTAGAATTAATCTATTGCAATTGACAAGCATACATGCACCCAGAAATAAGTGGGACCCTCCAAACTCTAGACGCGCATTGGGACCATGATCCAAACTCTAGACGGGCATTGGGACCATGATCCAAACTCTAGACGGACATTGGGACCCTCCAAACTCTAGACGGACATTGGGACCCTCTAAACTCTAGACATGGCACCCTCCAAACTCTAGATGTGGCACCCTCCAAACTCTAGACGGACATTGGGACCCTCCAAACTCTAGACGGACATTGGGACCCTCCAAACTCTAGACATGGCACCCTCCAAACTCTAGACGTGGCACCCTCCAAACTCTAGACGGACATTGAGACCCTCCAAACTCTAGACGGACATTGGGACCCTCCAAACTCTAGACATGGCACCCTCCAAACTCTAGACCTGGCACCCTCCAAACTCTAGACATGGCACCCTCCAAACTCTAGACGTGGCACCCTCCAAACTCTAGACGTGGCACCCTCCAAACTCTAGACGTGGCACCCTCCAAACTCTAGACGTGGCACCCTCCAAACTCTAGACGTGGCACCCTCCAAACTCTAGACGTGGCACCCTCCAAACTCTAGACGTGGCACCCTCCAAACTCTAGACGTGGCACCCTCCAAACTCTAGACGTGGCACCCTCCAAACTCTAGACGTGGCACCCTCCAAACTCTAGACGTGGCACCCTCCAAACTCTAGACGTGGCACCCTCCAAACTCTAGACGTGGCACCCTCCAAACTCTAGACGTGGCACCCTCCAAACTCTAGACGTGGCACCCTCCAAACTCTAGACGTGGCACCCTCCAAACTCTAGACGTGGCACCCTCCAAACTCTAGACGTGGCACCCTCCAAACTCTAGACGTGGCACCCTCCAAACTCTAGACGTGGCACCCTCCAAACTCTAGACGTGGCACCCTCCAAACTCTAGACGTGGCACCCTCCAAACTCTAGACGTGGCACCCTCCAAACTCTAGACGTGGCACCCTCCAAACTCTAGACGTGGCACCCTCCAAACTCTAGACGTGGCACCCTCCAAACTCTAGACGTGGCACCCTCCAAACTCTAGACGTGGCACCCTCCAAACTCTAGACGTGGCACCCTCCAAACTCTAGACGTGGCACCCTCCAAACTCTAGACGGACATTGAGACCCTCCAAACTCTAGATGGACATTGGGACCCTACAAACTCTAGAAGGACATTGGGACCCTCCAAACTCTAGACGGACATTGGGACCCTGATCCAAACTCTAGACGGACATTGGGACACTCCAAACTCTAGACGGACATTCATATGTGGGACCCTCCAAACTCTAGACGGACATAGGGACCCTCCAAACTCTAGACGGACATTCATAAGTGGGACCCTCCAAACTCTAGACGGACATTGGGACCCTCCAAACTATAGATGGACATTGGGACCCTCCAAACTATAGATGGACATTCAACTAATTGTGCTATCTGGTGGCCAACCCAGTTAAGTTTCACTACAGTTACAATCGTAGTCAGAAATAACTACCTTTCCGCTCTTTATTTACATTGCTTTTCTTAAATGAAGAGGCTGTTTTTGTCTGCCTCATATTTCTTAAAGAGGAGCTAGCCCGAGTTTCCTCTAGCTCTGACATCAGACTTAGTACATTTGACAGATGGATGACACCAGACATCTACCTGTCAAAATAGTCTGATGTCAGGGCCAGAAGAAACTATCTGGTCGCCGACGATCGACCCAGTCCAGTTCAGCTACATAATGACCTTGGTACTTCCATTTCACGCCTTACAATAATTTAAACTGAGCAGAAATGCAAATAACACGACTTGGATATGTAGGTATTTCAAGCTAATTTTATCATACAAGTCTATATCGGTCACCCTTAAAAGCGTCTTTAACCAACAACAAGCGTCTTCAAGTGACAACAAGTATCGCCAGACAAAATCTTTAAAAATACTGAATAAATTAAGCGACATCAGAAGATATGTTGTTAATATGACTATAATACGTACACCTTTATACCAAATATGAATTTGAGATAGAGCTCGAGGTAAAGTCTGAAGACGCTTCACGATCTGCAGAGTTCTATATATTCGCACACGTGTGCCATGCCGCCAATCGTAAAAATTCAATTCATCATAACTCGATCATTTGTTCATATATATAGCTGAAATTTGGAGTATATATCAATAAAAGTCTTATTAATAACATATCCTCTGATGTCGCTTACTTTAGTAAGAATGTTTAAAGATATTGTCTGGCGACGCTTTCTTAACCAGGTTAGGGAAAACCACCAACTTGCGTATAATACGCAAACACGCCTTTTATACGCCAGTTGGAGTATGGATTTGTTACTAAAAATAACCCAAATCGCTTTAACAGTAACTTTTGCAAGATATTATTAAAAATTGCATTAATTTACGATAAGGTTAATAATATTTTGCTAAAAGATGTTTACTGTAAGCGTTGGCTACTTAGAAACTTGTTGTAACTTTACCGGAAGTATTGCATCTATTTTTGGTACTTTTGCATTTGTATTATGTTTCATGACTGAATAAATGCGACTTGGACAAACAATTTGAAAAAGTTAAGATTAAAGTGATTTTGGCTATTTTTAGTAACAAATCCATACCCCAAGTGGCGTATAATAGGCGAGTTTGCGTATTATGCGCTAGTCACTGGTTTTACCCGACCTGTTAACTGTACAGGTTAATAACATGTACACACATGTGCCACGCCGCCGATCGTAAATATTCAATTCAACATAACTCGGGTCAATTTTTCAAATATCAAATTGAAATTTGGTATAAAGGTGTATTATAGTCCTATTAAAAACATATCTTCTGATGTCACTCACTTTATTCAGTATTTTTAAAGATTTTGTCTGGCGACGCTTGTTGTCACTTGAAGACGCTTTAAAGGAGGACCGACCGTCTTCTAGGCCTACAAGCCCCCTTTGATTCGTTCGACTGAAGAAAAGAAACAATTTGTCGATATGGGGCTTTAACACTTACCCTTGCTTTCGGAGAATGGTAGAAGGAGGAGGAATGATCCAACCAGAAAGATAACGCTCATATCGCGCTTCAGCTTCATTTCTCTCTTGTTGATCGATGTTTGTTGACACTGTCGCGTTGTCTGGGTTTGCTTTCACTGGTTGTGGTACTGACTCGCCTTAGCTTCTAAGCGTACAGCTGACAACGATGGCGATGTCTTATAATATCCGAAACGGTATTAATCCGGAACTTGATATTATTCTACAAGGCCTACCGTAATTACCTAAGTAGTTTTATATTTGGCCTATAACGGCACTTACACAGACTCAACACGAAAATGGCTTGGTCAACTAGAATCATAGATACACAGATTTTATTCTGACTATAGGAATGTTTACATTGCCTCTGCTGTCAGCTCTGTTGTATAAATAAAGGTTGGTTGATATTATTGGTAATAACATGATTTATGATTATTTAAGTCCATTGCTGATAATGTCACAGCTCTGTAACTGTAAGTTCATAAATTAGCAATTATCTGTACATTGTATTATGTTTCAGGTATCATACAAGTTAGTGGTTATTATTTAATGTAGATATAATATATCCTTATATATGTCAAATGAGTGTTAGTTTCTTGTTAAATTAAATCATCATGGCCTCAATATAGGTTCCCTGTGGTTAAAGAGAAGTGGTTGGTTCTTCCAGATCAAGTCAAGACTCAAATGCTCGCACATGCAGTTTGGGACATTACAACCTTTGATGTCAGACTATTCCATATGTCCACAGTTCGGTAAAAGAAGAAATGTTTCCTGATTTTAAGGCGAATTCTTTGTTAATATAATTTCAGTTCATGTCCCCGGAGACATTTACGTCTCTGATGTTCCCTCGTGGTGATGGTACTACTGAAAGGTGAAATGACTGTAGATACATGTACCTCACGATCATATTTCCTTGTCATGATTTTATAAATCTCTATCATGTCTCCCCTGGCTCTTCTGTAGGCCAAAGTTGGCAGTTTCAGATGTTGCAGTCTTTCTTGGTAAGATAGATTAGCCATTCCTGGGATTAGCTTAGTAGCTCTCCTTTGCACATTTTCTATCGATTCGAGGTGTTTGATCAGATGCAGACTCCAGACCTGGTTAGCATACCCTAGATTTGGTCTCACCAGACCTTTGTATAGTGTTGTAAATGTAGTGAGATCCATATACTCCATTGTTCTACTGATTAACCCCATTATGGAATTGGCTTTGTTTATTCTTTCATAAATGTGGACATTGAATGATAGTTTATTGTCGATAGTGACTCCGATATCTTTTTCAGTTTCGGTACATACAAGTTCTTTTCCATCTTCTAAAAGGTGTGCTGTCAATTTTACCAATCCGCATGGTTATGCATTTATCTGGTTGGAAGAACAGGAGCCTTTTTTTGTTCCATGCCTGTGCTTTTTGCAGGTTTTCTGTAGACACTCGCAATCCTGGGTGTTGAATATAGGACGGTAGAGTTTGGTATCATCTATAAATAGGTATGTTTTTGTATCCACACTTGTTATATCTGGGAGGTCATTAATGTATAAAACAAATCAAACTGGTCCTAGTACTGATCCTTGCGGAATGCCACTGCTCATTTCCTTCCAGCATAATGCGTCTCCATTTACTGTTACACGTTGTTTGGTAAAACCGTACATGCCCATTTTATGAACGAGTCGCTGGTGGGGAACTTTGTCGAATGCCTTCATAAAGTCACAATGCAGTACATCAATGCAACCTCCTGTATAAAGAATTTCCATCCAGTCATCACTAACTTGGATTAACTGTAGAACTGTGGACCTTCCTTGGATGAATCCAGCATGTCTCCTGCTGAATAATTTATTGATCTGCATGTAATTAGTCATGGTTTCCCTTACAATTGTTTCCAGTACTTAACAACATACTTCAGTATACAAGTAAAGCTTATAGGTCTGTAATTACTGGATACTTTGCGGTCTCCCTTTTTGAATATGGCTGTAACACTAGCATCCTTCCATTGTACATCAAAGCGCCCCTAGATTTAATTTTCCGGGGGGGGGGGGGGGGGGGGGGTGTACCTGTACGTACATGTTGTGATATTACAATACAAACTGGCCCCCAAAAAACGTTACACTATTGTATTGATATTTTTTCTTTCATATTTTGAAAATGCTGCAAATTCACAGGTCGATATCAATGTGTGTTGTATCAATAAATGCTCATTTAAATATTTCCATGAAACGACATCACTAGTGTTTACCAGCAAACGTAAAGCTTACAATATTAACTGGCATTGACCACAGCTGATAACGACGTCGCATGGAAGCAATGAGTCAGTTCATACATCTCGTCCAGATCTTCCGCCACTCTTCATGTAACGTCGTCCTCAACTTGTCCAACATTTGAGGCTGCCGCATGGCTTCGATTTCTCACTCTTTTGTCCAGCTGATCACAGGGGTGTTCGATGGGGTTGATATCTGTGGAAAGCGATAGCCGATCAAACACATTCATGATCTGTTGACGAAGAAAGTCAATTTTGACGCGCGCGACATAAGCGACATCGTTTTCTTTCTGAAACGAATACGTGCCGCCATTTTTAACCATTAATGGAACCACATGTGGTACCAAGATCTGTTCCCTGTAACGTTGAGCGCTCATGCTACCGTCGACGATCACAAGGTCTTTGAGCCCATTGCCCCATATTCCACCCGACACCATGACGCTTCCAGCGCCAAAACTATCATGACGTAACGTGAATACGTCCAGATAACGTTCACCATGCGTACATTACACCCGCGTTCTGCCAACTGAGCGATGAGTAGACTTTGGGAATCGTCCGTGAATAGAACATGTGGCCACTATCGTAGAGACCATCGAAAATGTTGCCGTGGCCACGCTGAGCGAGAGTGTAGCCCTTCCTCGGCCAACCGACGGATTACAGTTAGTGGACTAATGCGGAGGTGATTGCAGGATTTTGGAAGCAGTACTTGCCCACGTTACTGTCCGATTACGCAGATGACGTGAGCGGATTTGCCTGCCATGTCTACGTAATGCGTGGCCTCCTCCACCCTGGACGACCGTTTATATGACTAACCTCAATCCCCGGTGACAATAATACAAAGAAACTAGCAAATGTCTGTAAGACATAAATGCCCCCTCTCATGGATGGGACGGGACGCGACAGGACGGGACAGACATGGGCAACACTATATGCCCCCCACCCCCCCATTTTATGGCGGGGGCATTATAACGTCTTTCATATTTCAGATGTTATGAACATACCCTATTTTAAATAATGTAATGTTACCACATTACGTCATAACACCATCTGAAACTGACCCCAGGGCTCAGTCGACAGTGAACTCTACGACACTGGTAAATGTCTTTGAAGGAGCATGGAGATGTTGTCGGGGGCTCAAAGGGACACCTTAAATACACATGAGTGCTCCAATGCTGGCCAGTCTCGTTATCGGGTGGATGGTCCTCCTTCGCTAGCTGTTTCGGCGCTTATCCACGACGTCTTCCATAAGTGCGCCGACTGGGTAGATCAGACCCAGCCAGGGACTGGTCGGCTCGCGCTCCTGTTGGTTGGAATTGCAGCTTGCTGCCATGATGTAACTGTAGCCTCCTGCATCATATACCGTGCCTCGTGAGGTTTCGTGTTGTGGCACCGTGTGACTACCAATGTTGTTGGTGTCCACCCCACGGTTCTTCTTTCTTCCTCTATATCCAGTTGGATGCCAACTCCGCCTGTCTGATCACCACTCCCACCAGCTTCCTCCGGTCTGCCATCACCATACTGAGTAACCTCAAAGTTCTCCACAGACATTGGTCAGGGAAACCACTGCATTCAACCTCCACTGGCAGGCACGTTACCTTCCTACCTCGTTGTTGGAAGTCCTTTACATGTTGCTGGTACTTCTTCATCTTCCGTTCAAGTGTTTCCTCTATCCTGTCTACCATCAAGACCTGCTTGAAGTTTCGAGATCACAACACAATGTCTTGGCGGAGTGGTGTAGCAGCGACCTCTGCTGGGAAACCCATCCTCTGATGGGTGTCTGCCCTCATTTCCCGAGTATCCTGCTGTTGTCAGTATCCCGCCTCCCTCGGAGATGCCCTTACCTTTGGTTCCTGCCTTAAAGAAGTTGACAAACTTTGGTCGTTTCGTGACTGCTCTTTTCTTCCTCCTAGCATTGTCGAGGATCTCTGCTTTTACGTTGAGGAACGGGTCATGGTGCGAAAATTGGTTTAGACAATGTTTGGCGGTACAACGGGTGGCGATTTATCGAGACAGGAAAGATCAAATAAATAGAACTTATCAAGCATACGACATACAAGTATATATGCACCTACTTCATTAGACGTTTAGACATATCGTTGACGTCCTCCAGGGGTGTATGGTTGGCTTTCGCTGTTTTTGTTTGTAATCGCAATCTTCTGCTTTGATGTAATCGTAGCCTCCTCCTGCTGGTGTACTTCATTGCTGGTGTGGATAATGATGTCCAGTGTTGTGTCTCTATTTGTGTCTAGCACTTTTGCTGATTGAAGAACACCACACAGCCCCTTTCCTCTTTTTTCAATATCCATCCAGATGCCAACACTCATCTAGCCAGCCACCTCAATGTCCTCTACTGTAGTGACTAGATAACAACTTCATCGACCCTCAATGGCAGGCAATCTGCTCTCGCTGGATATTCCATTACAGTGGGTAGGTCGTCACACAAAAAATCCGGTACTTTGCTGGTTTTAATGACATAAGTGCCCATGCATGTGATCTACGTCTCTAAAGGTCCACCGTTCTTGAACAACTGTCTGTGCAATTGGGAACTGTCGGCAATTTCCGTAAACGAGAATCTCTCGTTTACGGAAAGTGCCAACGATTCCCGATTGCTGTCGATTTTGTCGCCGTCATATCATCCATAAAGGCTCTTGTTGGTGGTTGTTTGATGGTATGTATGGCGCCCTGGTGTGCTTTTCCACGAATTCTACCATGAGTGTCAGCTGCAAATAAAATCACTTATATCATATACCAGGTGACGATCCGACAAGAGAACTCTCTGAAGGTAAACAGACAGATGTCATCCTCCTCGACTTCGCAAAAACCTTCGACAAAGTCCCCCACCAAAGGCTTCTTGCAAAGTTCCACTACTACAGGATCCATGGATCTACGCCGGATTGGATCCAACGCTTCCTAA